AAAATATCTAAAATATCAAAATTACCCCTGCATAAACTCCAAATAATCTTTTTACATAAAATTTGATTAAAATTCCAACTAATTAAAATTTATTTTTTTACATATTAAATTTGAGCCGATTAAAATTAAATTCAATTTGATTAAATATTATTTTTTTTACATATTAAAATTTGAGCCTATTAATTTTTTTTTTATGTATTAAAATTCTAGCCGATTTAAACTCAACCCGAGCTGTTAGTGCTGATTAAAATTTATATTTTTCTATTTTTAAAAATTCGTGTTAATTAAAATTCGATTTAAGTTAATTAAAATTTGTGTCAATTAAATTTTTTTTTTACATATCAAAATTTGGGCCAATTAAATATAAATTTTTAATCGACTCGAATCAAATTTTAATACGTAAAAAAATTCATAAATAAGGGGGTTTTATTGAAAATATATCTATCTAGAGAGGGTGTGGATGAATTTTTTTTTAAAATATATCGTAGACACTTTAATAAAATTGTATTATAGTTAAGACTTTTAGGGGGGTGTCAGTAAAAATTCAAAAAATAGATGAGGTGTCCTTGAAGATATGATAAATTAGAAAATGTGTGGCTGAAATTTTGCCTAAAATCTAAACAACGACAATATTAGGATATAACCATCGATCATAATTCCGTTTTAAAACGTTTCCGTTTTCAAGGAAATCGAAACGACTCAATAATACAATCAAAATTCTGATATTTGAAGGTATTTTATAATATTTCGAGATGTTTGATAATATTTCAAGGCATTTACTTAATTGTTTCGGAATGTTTCAAAGTATTTTAATATATTTCGATCAATATTTAAAAAAAATAATTTTTAAATTTTTTATTTTTTTTATTCTCTTTTCAAAACAGATTGAAACGTTTTGTGATTTCTTAGATGACCGAAACAATTCACTAAAATAAAATTTTTCATCCCTGATCATAAGAAAATGAGAATGAATTCTATATAAAATAGTAAAATACTGATGACAACTTGGTACAATGGAGACCCAACCCTTTTTTTCCCCAAATTTAGATGAGACATTTCCTAATTGTTGGATGTGGCCCTTCCGCATGTTGCCTTAACCAAAAAAAAAAAAGCAAAAGGGGAGCTTGTATCTGTAGATATTTATTAAATTTAATTATGCCGGATTACTAACGAATGGACAATGTTTGAAAAATGTGAGATTATTTTCATCCCTTAAATATTTTTTTTCACCCTATTTAATTATTTTATTTTAATTATTAAGTTTACCTCATCTATACTCACTTCATTAGTTACTAAGTTCATTCCATTTACACCCATTCAATTAAACTATTAAATATATGTCAAAGAAATCGAAATAAAAGTAGTAATTAAAGCAAAATTTTAATGTTCCGAAGTGATTTATATTATTTCGAGGTATTTTGATATATTTTCACCAATGTCTTTGGAATATTTTGGTATATTTTGACTATTATTTTAAAAATAATTACTAATTTTTATTTTACTTCTGAAATATTTTTGTACTGAAATAATACATTAAAATAAAATTTTGATAATTGCTGACATAGTAGGTTGAAATAATATTAAATTAAATTAATTTTTAATTAGTGAATATAAACGGGGTGAGTGTAGTAACTAATTAGGTAAATATAGATAGTGTAAACTTCATAGTTTGAAGTAAGATAATTAAATAAAGTAAAAAAAAAAGATTTAAGGGGCAAAAATAACCTACCCGTTTGAAAATTGCAATAACGACCAAACATAAATCACTAAAAAAAGCAAAAAGAAGAAACAATAATTATGCCTAGGTTTCACCTGCCCTAAGATTCTAGCACCTTTACAACTTTTTTTTGGTTAATTTTTAGCAGCTTTATAATTATGCACATTTTCCATAGGAGAAAAAAACAAACAAAAAGCATTGCGTCCCTATCATGGAGAACATGGGTGTAGGTAAAGTGTTTCTTAAAAAAAAAAAAAAACAAATAGAAAATGAAAATTTAGGAAGAAAGAATCAAGAGAATATAAAAAAACTCGAAGGAATCAAACCCATAACCCAAAAGGAGTTTTCTTAATATTCTATCCTCTTTGTACTTGTCTTTTTTATTTATTGAACATTAAGAATAGAAGCGTGGTTCTGAGATAGTATAGTTGTTCTTCTATACAGTTGATCAATTAGAATAGAGTATTAATACAAATTCCTCCACCCTCTAACTTTATCCATATAAGAACGTGTAATTAACTTGGTGGCACGTGTACCTATGTGGCAAAAAACAGGACATGTGTGGTTTTGCTGACTCAGACACACGTTATTGAAACAACCTAGTAGTATGATATTATATGTGTATGCATAGGTACGTTTAAAAATAAATAGGATGTTTTTATGGTTAGTGGTTTTCAATCCTTGCTGCCATTTACTTGTTTTATGGGAAACCGAAAGTACCCAAAGAATGGAGGAGAATAAACATTCACAGTGGGGGGAAGGAATCAAAAAAGTCTAATGCAGGAGGGAGAGAGAGAGAGAGGGGTAGAGGTAGAGAAGAAACCTGTTGGTCGCACATTAAATGTATACAATTTCGAATGGTTCAGTGATTGAGTCTGACATTTAGTAATTCATGAATCGTATGTTTAATTCTTTTTCACATTTTTTAAAAATTAGCCACCTTTATTCTTTTGGGGGCATGCTTTAACCCAATTCAAGTTACAGTGGTTAACCGCTAAGCTCAAAAAATAATTGGTACAAACCTAAACATCCTGTAATAAAAAAAAATAACATATACCATGCACATTTAACAAGTATTGCCTTTCGGCAAAGACTCTTTATTGTAGTGCATATATACATCTATAATATAAAATAGGGGCAAACTTTAATAAAATTATTCGACGACCTTTAATAGATTCATTTAAGGGTCACCAACATCCCTTTCAAAATCATTCATATTACATCGTATCAGGTACGGATTACCCTTATGTTTATATTTAGCTACTTTAAACTAACATCTCTTTTTGAGTAAAATGACTCCCTCTCTTTTTCTCATACACAATTTGGGTGAAATAATAAAATCTATAATTTATAATATAAAATAGAGTAGATTTCAATAAGCTCCTTCAATGGTCTCAAATAGACTAATTTAATGGTCACCAATATTTCACTCAAAACTATTCACATTATATCGTGTTTTTAAACACGAGTTACCATTAATATTCAATATAACAGTGATACCGCATCAATAATGATAAGTGAAGCTCTGCATGGATAAAAACTAGATTTTATCAAAGTGCTCATGTCACAGTATTCCCAACCTCTTTTTTAGTATGTTACTAAAATTACTACAAAATAAAATTTGATGGAATTACTTAAAAAAAAGAAAAGATTTTTGGCGATCTATCATACCGTTTTAATATCGACCCAATTTTTTTTTTGGGAATCATAATTGAATCTGCAAATTAGTAATTTGAGGCAAATAAATCAAAATTAACTATAAATTCAGCCCTAGCCACACAATGGGGAAAAAGGGGGAAGTATACGAGCTCAATTAGTCTAAACCGTGAGCTGGCTGCTGTTATAGCGGTATTGAATAAAAATTCTAAACACAACCAATGGGTAAAAATCAAGTTTTTCAAACCCAAGTCCAAATTGCTCTCTTTTTTGAAGACAGGATTGGTCATTGTCTAATGTCACTCCAATGGCCTAAGTTTTCTGTTAAGTGTAAATTAGGTAGAGCGAGACAGAGAATTCCTTGCCCTAGCTGCATGGAGATTCAAGTTTAAGACTAGACTTCAGCTTGATTATAATATAGTTCAATTGACTTAATCAATCTAACAAGCACACATATTCTACAAGCCACAATTGAAAGAATCACTCAATTTAAAATTTTGAACCTTGAAAAACAGGTCTAAATCAAATGGTTCTCGAATCTTGAATAGTTTGAATTTCTTTGCGAACTTGCAGCACAGTGCGTGCGAAGGCTCATTTACAGAAGCGTTGCACTATTATGGCATTTGGGCGATGTTCCATTCCTCGCTAGCTCGAGAAAAAAACTAATCATTAGCCCTCAACTCTTTTTTTACAATCCCTACGTTTGCCTCATGGATTTAAATTTTATAACAAGAAATAGAAGTGAGGAAATCTTTAATACATTTTCTTTACATTTTTTTTTATAGATTATCCGTTGTGTATCCAAGTAGAACTTTAATGTATATATATGAGTTCCTCGTGATAGATAATGTGTCATGAAACACGTCGGAAGAAAAAATATATTAGAGTGAATTTAGATTTCAAGAAATATCTCAAATAGGGTTGCTAATCGAGATCAATTTTTTAAACGAGTTTAAAAAATTATTTAAACTCGGCTCTTTTAAAAAATGAGTCGAGTTTGAGCCGAACTTGAGCTGAACCCGAATAGTTTAATTATTTTACATATAAACGAGCCGAGTTTAACGAGTTATAGTTATACCTAACGAACCTAAAAAATTGTTTAATCTCATCTCAAACTTAAATCGAGTCCTAACTGAATTAAACCCAACCCAAGTCCTTTGACTCAATTATCATTCCTAACCTCAAAAGGGAAAATCAAAGACAAAAAAGTCATTTGATCCCACCCAAATCCTGCAATTATCCCCATAGACCCAGATAATCTATAGTTAATCCTCCCTCCAAAACCACTCCCATTAACAACTCCCCTAATCTATATGTCTATCCATAATTTCTCTCTCTCCAGTCCCCCTAATCCCAACGCACAGACTCGTTGAGAAAGAACAAGTGAACAACCAACTACGGACGCGTCCATCTATATAACCAATTCTTACAACTAATATCTCGCCTCTATTCCATCTCTCTCTCTCTCTCTCTCTCTCATCATATCTTTCTATCCCTATATCTCTATATCCGTATATTTACAATTTGAAAAAAGCCAGCAACTCTATATTCTTTACAAAACCCATCAAGGTTCTTGATCTGTAGTAACCATTTTTCCATGGGTTCTTCCTTTTCCCTTTTCTGCAACATGTGCACCAACAGAGCTACTGTTCCTTCGAAACCCAATCTTGGGGACTTGCCGGATAGCTGTGTGGCGTCGATTCTGGGGTATTTAGACCCACCGGAGATCTGTAGACTGGCTCTTCTTAATAGGGCCTTTCGAGGTGCTTCATCAGCAGATTTTGTTTGGGAATCCAAACTGCCTTTGAATTATGGGTCTGTGATCGAAAGAGTGTTTGAAGATTTTCCTGAGAAATTGTGTAAAAGAGATATTTATGCCAGGCTTTGTCGACTCCATTCTCTTGATGGAGGCACAAAGGTGCGATTTTTATTCTAAAATCCTTTTGCTTTTTGTTAAATACTGTGCATATAGGTCTGTGTGGTATATCTTTTTGTGATTTTCGAAAACAAAAACAAGCCAAAACTGCTTTGATGGAAATGTTTGGTGAACATTTATAATCTTGTTTCGGAAGTTTTGGGTCTGACCCAAACAAACAAATGGATTTTGGGTTGATTTTGATCTCAAAAGTTCTTATTGAAACTTGAACAAAGAAAAAAAAGGCTTATGACTTATCATTGATGATGTTGTGTTTTTAGTAATTGAAAAAAACTACAGAAAATGATACCAAACGGCCCTTAGGTTTTTAGAAAAATCTGAAATAATTTTTGTTTTGTTGAATAGGAAGAAGAATAAGTGGCCTTATGTTGTGTAATCGTTGATGTTTGTTGATGGGTTTGTTGATTTGGGTTATGTGCAGAAAGTTTGGTTGGATAAGAGTACAGGAAGAATTTGTTTGTCAATTGCATCAAATGGGTTGGAGATAACAGGGATCGATGATCGGAGATACTGGAGTCGAATTCTAACCGAGGAATCTCAGTAAGTATTTAAGAAAAATAGATTTGTTTTGTTTTTTGTATTGATTTTCATAAAACCAAGAGTTTGATATTCTTTTAAGCATATGTTTTAGATTGTTGATCAAATCCAACTGTTTGGGGCATTTCTTAGTAGGTTAATTGATTTCGTTTTGTCTTTTAATCTATGGTTCTTATAGCATGTGATGTCGTGATCAAGTGTGTGAATCTGATAGTGTAATATGCCCTGCATGTGGTTTTGTAGTTGCTGAATCCTGTTATCTAGCTAGCCTTGGAGTCTAGATCTCGATTTCTTGATTTTTTATGACGAATTCTGCCCGTGATTAGGGGGATAAATTGGTTTTGGTCAAAAACCTTGGGTACCTTCTGTGATTCTGAATTCATCTATCAGATATGAGTACCAGAATCTTTGCGTGTTGGATGATTTTCATCGTAGTTGAAGTTGGATTCCAAGATTGTAGCATATGAATACCTAAAGTCACGCTATTGGAATGAAATCCTATTTGAATTTTGATGCATATGCATGTGCTAACCTTAGCATGTTTTGAAGTTCTTATTTTGAAAAAGCCAGAAAGGTGTTGTGTCTCTACCTTATGAAACTATGCTCATATTGTTCTTATTTTTTACCAGATACTGGGCATGCTCGTTTTTCTTTCAATTTTAGTTGGTGCATTATAAGTGTTTAGTAAAAGGAAGAGAGATGAATTGGTCTAAGTTGGACTCGTTTTCTCTTCGTAGATTCTGCTCAGTTGCATACCTCCAGCAAATCTGGTGGTTTGAAGTTGATGGAGAGCTCGAGTTCCCATTTCCAGCGGGGACATATAGCCTATTCTTCAGGCTACAGTTAGGACGGGCCTCCAAGAGGTTTGGTCGCCGAGTCTGCAACTCTGAGCATGTCCATGGTTGGGATATAAAACCCGTGCGATTCCAGCTTTCAACATCAGATGGCCAGCAGGCAGTCTCCCAGTGTTACTTGGATGAACCTGGAAAATGGATTCACTACCATGCGGGAGATTTCGTCGTTGAGGATCAGAATACACCGACGAAAATCAAATTCTCAATGACCCAGATTGATTGCACACACACTAAAGGCGGTCTCTGCGTGGACTCTGTTTTTGTGTACCCGAGTGAATTCAAAGAGGGGTTAAAGCATTTTTAGTTGCAATTAACCTTTTTTGTATGAGCCTTTATGGAAGTAGGACATTTTCAAAGAGTCTGAAAATATGTTAGAGCTGGTTTGAGGCCTAGAGTCAATTGTATTCAAATAAGGCAATGTGTATATTTATCCCCACTGTTTGATTAGTGTGATTGTAAGTGTCATTTTCCTCTGAACAAATTTGTTCTGCTTTTTTTTTTAACTGAATGAAAACTTGTTCGAGGGTTAGAAAGAAGACGGCTCAACGCATGTGTTAGACAGGATTGTTCCGAACTACAATCAATCTAGCTGATAGGTCTGTAGATGGATTAAACTTTGATTGGTGGATCGGAAAGATGTGAATTTAGACAAGTGTCTATGGCCATCTGATTAGATTCCCCTCTCTTTAAAACCTTACTATTAATGCATCCATTCTAAATGATTTTCCCGCTTGCTACTTACATATAATAAGTAATGCTCTTTGGACCAAATTATTTACCGACCCACAATTGTCGATTGTATGAAATCTACTGTCAATCCAATGACAATATAGGAGTGGAGAACTAATTAGTTGATCCACATAAGGTGCAAAATGTCAATACAAGTTTACCGATTGCAGTGGTAGCAAGCCACTAGGCAGAAGTACAGGCTTTGTCCTCATTTTGAATTTTACACAATTCTCTAGCTTAGGCTGGTCATGAAATACTTTGTTGTAGAGATCATAAGATACCATACACCAAGCTCAGAGGAATTCAACAATGCTTGCAGAATTGAACAATAATACAAATTACTCAGAAAATCTTAGTCTGGTTGTCAGGCCAACAAAATATCCGGACCACAACTGGAGAATTAAACTGTTGCCCCTTCTCTAGCGATTTCCTTCAGGGGGAGGGGAACTCTGTAATCCCCACTTCACAGCATGCCACCCCGAAGAAAAGGGTCTCACTCAAAGAGGGCATGTCTTTACCGCCATTGTTGAGATAGGAAGTCTAGGAAAATACATCTGTGAAGTAAACAGGAAAGTTATTGGTTTTGTTGTTCACTGTTGCTGGGACGTCTTATATGGCATTTATCAGTGGTCCTTTGCAGCGTTCTTCCTTCTCCTTTTCTCAATAAAAGGACTCAAACTTTCCAGATGTCTGATAAATCACGCAATGATTTGAGTTAACTTTCGTGTAGAAACCTCTTACCGTCATATTATATCACATGCAAATATATACCTTGAGTTCATTGTATTTCTCTATAAGCTTTTGCTTCCGGATTTCAGCTGAAAAAAGAAGTAGCATTTAGTCCATGAAAGAGTTGTTGGTACAGGAATTGTTGCTTCTTCAAACCCATAAAATAATATCTGGAAACCCAAAAAGTCAAAACAGCACCTCTCTACAAGGGAAAAAAATCTTCTATTAACATCATTATTAGCATCAACATGCCCACCTTTGTCACTTCTATTGGTATATCCCTATCCTTTTGCAGACCAGTTCTAGGACTCCCTGTAATTTATGGATATGTGCTTGCTGGATATTCTGGATGTTTGGATAGAGGAAAGCGAAAATTAGATTTTTATTTTTTTTTCCCTTTGCCTACTAAACGTATAAAGAAGTATAGTCAACGACAAAGAAAGAGAGACAGAGAGCACTACATTTCTTCAAATAGAATGGTTGTTTCCCTTGCTTTGCTGCATCTCTCTCTTTCTTGTGCACAGCTAGTATCTCTCTGTCAGTACGTTTTGTTGATGCAGACTTCAGTTGTTTGTCCTAGCATGAACAAATATAAGGAAAAGATATTCAAAAGAAAATTGTTGTATACATTGAGAAAGGAAAATCGATAGAAGTAAATTTAAAACGGTCAGATATGATTCCATCCAACATAACAACTGCGTTTTACTTGCGTAAGCACATACAATCCAAGCTATCTGATCTTTCAGTCCGTTAATAGCTTCTGAGTCATTTGATTTCTTCATCAATTTCCTTAGTTCCTGTCAATGCCAAAAAGAAATTACCAACAATATATATAACATTATAGTCATGAATTTCAAAATTCCTATACTTTAAGACGCTGTACTTTCTGAATTTCCTTAAGTACCTCTTCTCAGTAGGAAGATTATTCTCACAAAGAAAATTGTATCTCTTCTTGAACCTTAAAGAACCACAGTAGGTATTAATATAACACAAAACACATGGCTTCCAAATGCATAAAAGGTGATATGCAAAGATCAAAATCCCATGGGATTTGAGAAAACAAAGCATAGGCATGAAACGGCTCAAGGGTACACAAACTCAACACTCTGCAAAAATTGCAAGCCATATTGGTCAAAATTTTACTACACTTCCAGTTTAAAATACCCAGATTGGGTAAAGATCATGTCCACAACAATTTTCTCGCCTCGAGATAAATGATACCATCTACGAGAGTAGGTCTCCATTGTAGAATGACAATACTCGTGGCATCGAGTTTCGAGGACTCCAAACGGAAATTAAGCAACAACAGTTTTAAATTGGGAATGAGTTCTATTGTATGGCAAGTAGATAAAACCATTTCAAAGTTATTTATTTATTATAGAAAAAGGACACAAGTTAGTATGACATGATTTATCATTCACCAAATAGAGTAACCAACTTCATTTGAGTTCTTAGATATGGTAAGAAAGGCCTTTTGCAACAATATTTACTATTAAGCATTTACGGTCCCAGTAGCTTTAAGTTTCAGTATCTAAGAGACAAAACTTTATTTGAGTGTTTCTCATATTGCAAAGTTGGAATATCTAAGAGACTGAACTCCTGTTTTAGTGTTTCTTGGATTTATGAATAGAATAGTTGAGAACTTATTGTTTCTTTTATACGTTTAGGGTACTTCTAGCAAGAACCCACTTGCTTTGCTTTTAAATGGTACAATGCTCAAGAAGAAATTCTTGAGAAGGAAGGTTTGAGTTGATTTCATTTTTTCCTTTATTTTTTCACTAATTTTTTTTAGAAGTACTCTGTGTAATTGCTAACATAATTAAGTTGTTATTCACAGTGGAATTGAATGTGATTCAATGTTGTGGTATTGTTTGAATGAGAAGTTTGTAATTTTGCTTATTTGATTTAAAAAGTATATGGGTTTTTACAGAAAATTTGGGTCAAAAGTCAAGCTGAAAGTCTTGGATTTCATGAGGGAGTGCAGAATTTTTTATACGGTTCATCAGGAGTGAAGGCGATTGATAAGAAGACAATATCAGTGTAATCACTTCTGGATGTTGAATGCAATCATGAAAATTGGCTTGGTCACAAATTAAATGTGTCCGAAAGTGCCACTTGCAAATAATTAGAGAGTCTAAGCTAAACTTTGAGGGTGATTGGCGTTATCTATATACAATTAGAATAGGTTTTTCTTGAAAATTAATAAATTTGTTGATTTTATTTTTACTTCCATATGTCCGATTGAGGTTAACTAAGTACAAAACTATATTTTTTGTTGATGTTGGCATTTATGCATCTGTACAAGGTGTGACGCATTATATTTGTGATTATTGGTCATTCATTTTTATCTTGCTCCATCCAATTAATACTGTAAATTTTTCTCTAGCTTTGTCTTTGTGCATACACCTATTACAAGTTAAGATAAAGAGAAAGCAATACTTACAAAAGGTGCCCACTAATTGAAGGTTTATGTCTTACTTTTTATCATATAAAGTGAGATTATTTCATTTTCTATTTTTTTGCAATTCATTATGTTTTTAATGTTTGGTTGGTTGTTGGTATTTATGTGCTGTATGACTAAAAATCTATCAACCAAGTTCATTGTTGATGTCTTTACAGGTTACATAGTCCTCACGTGCTCCAAATATGTTTTGATATGAGGTTGGTACATGAATTATTCTCTATTTTTCCTAGACAATGTCTTTTGGTTGGTTTCATGTGATAGTAGATTGAAAAAGTCACAAAAGTATAATTTACATTTCTATCAAATATTGACTACATTCGATTTCTAGCTCTATTTGTCGGCAGATTGAATATGTAAAGTTGGTGGCCTTTGTGGTAGTAAGTTATGTTTAACCATAACATGATTTTTGAGGTTGATAATGGTGATTGAAGTTTTTTTGTAAAATATGGTCAATTCATTATATCTTTATGCCTTTAAAAAACTATTTTTCAAGGATATTTATCTCTATCTTCATATTTTTGGATAATGATATATACAATGAGATTTATAAGTTTTGTAGATAGGTTGCGATTTTTTGGAGTTTTTATTTTAGCGGAAAGCCTGACAAAATTTATTGAAAAAATGGCGGGACTTAATTGATTTCAATTTTTTTAATTAAAGCAAATGACACAAAAATGATTTTTAAATGGTGGGTTTTTAGATTGCAAAGTGCATATATATATATATATATATATATATATATATATATATATATATATATATGAGAGAGAGAGAAATAAATAGTCATGTTTTATATATAGATATAGATAGATATAAGAAAGAGGAAGAAAATTTTAATATTAGTCGAACTCCTAAAATTTAAGAGTTGTTAGTTTTTAAATTTGTGTTTAATTAAATATAACTATTAAGAGTATTTTGGACAATGAAGATCAAAATAGACTTAATATTAAACAAAATTTTTTAAATCCATTACCAAATAAGTCCGCAAAGAAAAACCGCCCTCCAAATTTTTCAAATAAAATAAACCCGAGTCAAGCCCAGATAAGTTAAATCGATTATCTACCCTTGATCATATATTTTGGTGTATTCAAAAAGTCTAATGTTAGATTTGTTTTGCAATAATGCTTTTAAATATAATAGAATTCATTTATTACAAAATGGTTTTGTAATTATTCAAAAAAAAAATGTATATATTATTTTATTTTGGTGCATTGATTGCCTAGAAGTAATTATATATATATATATATATATATATATATATATATATATATATATATATATATATATATATATATATATATATATATATATAAGGATAAAAATAATTAAAGAAAACTAATGTGTCTCTAATAAAAGTCTTGCTTCTAAAGAGACTTATTATGACTATTCTACATGTGTTTTAAATAGAATAATATTATTTAATAGAAAAATCCTAGAAAACCAAAGCAAGTGACAAAAAATAAAGAAAATATATATACACGTGTGTGTGTGAGAGAGAGAGAAAGAGAGAATGAAGGAAGAAAAGAAGAACGAAAAAAAAAAAACAAAAAGGGATATGGTCCATTGAAGGTATGAATTTATTAATTATTTTATGAGTTGTGTATTCTATTCAATTACATGCTATTAGGTTTATTATAAATAGTGATAATGAATATATATATATATAGTGGAGGCGAGCAGTGGTAATGATGGTGTGCAGTAGTAATGATTGTGGAAGATAGTGATAGTTGTGATGAATGTTTTCAACTAGTTGTAATTATGGCAGCTATAGGTGACAATGGTGATGGTGTTCAGGGGCAATAGGGGGGTGATGGTGGAATAGTGACGGTAGTAGTAAGGTGGCGGCAATGGTGGAGTTACGATAGTAGAGGTGGGGGGGCGATGGTGGTAATTATCGTAGAAGAGATGATGGTGGGGTGATAGTAGTGGTGACAGTGACAATGGTAACAGAGAGATGGGTGTTGTAGGGTGGCGACAGTGGTGGTGGTGGCGATGAGACCGGGGATGGTAGAGGTGTTAATGGGACGATTTTTAAACACTAATTTTTTTTTTAAATACTTATAAAAGTTTATACCCCTTAAAAATTTGTCACAATATTTACTTGTAAACACGCACATTAATTTTTCGTGACAACTAAAATGCATAGTAATTTATTGAAAATCTATAATATATTATGCGTAACGTACATCACTGACATCGTCATGTCATGTTGGGTTTACCAACTACCAAGCGCTGATTATTTTTTTAAGAGAGAAAATAAGAGAAATACATAATAACCAAATTAAATGCAACGTAATGGGTGATTAATAAATGCTGCCGGTGAAGTTGTTAGCAGGCTGAAATTTATTGCTGCAATTATCTTCCCCAAGTTATGGTGTCGACAGAGCATTTAGCTCCTCAGTGAGCCCCACCTATGATTATGAATCTCCCCCCTTTGAATCTTAAAAGATTAGACCAATCAATTCTATTTCTATGCACACAATATGCAACGAAAAATATTATACAATTTAAATAAAATCTAAAAAATATAATTATTAATTAACATGCATAAGTTTTATCTTAGTAGGTTTATATTGTGGATAGATTAACCTTTGTCATATCAATTTAATAAATAATTGGACGCAATACTTAGCTAACAAATTATACCCTGCTATAAATAGATTGGTACTTTTTCTATTGTTGTGGTACCAAAAAAAATGGTAAATATATTTACCACGTAATAATAAAAATATTCACAAATGTGATAAATACGTCCACAAATGTGATAAAATTTTGTATACTTAAAAAAAATGGTAAAATAGTTAATATAAATGTGGTAAAAATACCCACTTAAAAACACCCATAAAATGGTAAATCAATTATAAAAATGATAATTTTTTTTATTGTAAAATGACTTATAAAAATTATAAAAACACTTTTTAAAATAATAAATTTTGGAGTTATGGTATCAAATTTTTTTTGACTATACCATAGTCAAATCCATACTTGAGATTTATCAAAACCGTTTTATTGATTAGCTTGATTATCTTTCAACCAAGTGTAACTTTAGAAATTGAAACGTCTAACTTGACTAATAAAAAATAATTTCATCAAAAGAGTAAAAATATATTTAATTATTATTTGTATAATAGTGATGTAGATTTCTTTTCGTATATAAATAAGGGCAAATTTAGTTTTTCATTTTAAAATGTTTTAAAAAAATTATTTTGTATCCTTTTAAGATTAATTTTTTACATTATAACATTAATTTATTGAAATTGTTATAATATGATTCTTCTATTAGTTTATTTTACTCATTTTGCCAACGTGTGTGTTGCATGGTATTAGAGCATAAACGCAAGTCTCTTTGAAGGTCAAGTTTCAAAAAACATGTAAACTCTTTTATTTTTTAGGAAGTAAACAGATGTTCAAGCACTATTAGCAGTATGAGCACTTCTCCGTAGTCCCCAAAAATATAAAAGAAAAGACATAATTCGACAGACAACTCATCAAAGACAGTAAACGCTCTTTTTTGTTGTCAACTATCTCGTCATTTTAAAGAAATAGAATAAGTGATGACATTGACCTTTGCTAATCCCAAATTAACCAAATAAACAATAAAAACTAATGAAATTAAATGATCATATTATAATATTTTTAATATATTAATGATATAATATGAAAAATTTCATCGTACAAGATGAAAAAAATTAAATCTTTTGGAATACATAGTGAAATTCTCTTATATATATATATATATATATATTATATTATTAAAACTAATTAAACTATAAAAAATTTTCTATCAACTCTGCCATTGGTATCTTGAAGTCTATCGCAAAGTCAAAACAGAACGACACGTTTGCCCATCCACATACTCCTCGAAACCCATATCAGAAGTTTTGTACTTTTATTCCCCATAATTTCTGTCTATTTATTTTCTCACTCGTAAATCTCTGAAGTCTGCATCGGTTTCCGAGCCAGAAGTTGGGTCACAAAAGACTCGGAACTAGTAGCTCAACGACAAACAAAGGTTGGTTGAGTTAGGAACGGAGACCATGGACTTGGAATCAATGGCGTCGGCAATCGGCGTCTCGGTGCCGGTGCTCCGATTTCTCCTTTGTTTCGTGGCAACAATACCCGTCAGCTTCCTCTGGCGTCTCGTCCCCTGCGGACCACCTGTCAAGCACCTCTACGCCTCATTGTCCGGTGTTATTCTCTCCTATCTCTCATTTGGGTTCTCCTCTAATCTACATTTTTTGGTCCCCATGCTCTTGGGTTACGCTTCAATGGTGTTGTGTCGTCGGTATTGTGGGATCATCACCTTCTTCTTGGGATTTGGGTACCTCATAGGATGGTAAGCTGTTAATTTTCTTATTACTATGCTAATTTGCTGATGCTATGGAAAGATTTTTTTTTTAAATTAAAATTGTTAGGTTTTTTCACCCTTTTTCCTTCACGGGGAGAGGTTAGCTTTTGGTGTTCTGTTTGGCTGCTGAGAAAACCTGGGAAATTGAATAGATTGACGGTCACTTTTTAGATTTTTGGTCGTTTGGGACCGTGAAAACAGCCAAATTCACTCAAAATGGGCTATATATGGTTGAATTACATGATAGATTTCTTTGAGATTTAAATTTTTCTCTCTTCATTCTCTTATCAATTCTCTCAGAACCAATCACACACCCCAGAATGCTCTTCTCTTGGGCATTCTTTCCTGTTCATTTTGTAATGATTTTCTTCTAGGGCAGAAGTGTTTAAGAAACGAAACTTTATTTGGGTTTGCTGTTGTTTTCATCAACCAGTCACCCTAGAATGCAATTTTCCTTGGCATTCTTTCCTTTTCATTTTGTAATGATTTTCTTCGGGGGCGGAAGCTTTTAAGAAACGAAACTATAGGTGGATTTGATTTTGTTTCATCAACTTACTAATACAATTTGGTGTGGATTTAGCGTGAGGGATTTGTTGAACTCATATGGGATTCATGGGTTTTCACTTATTAAAGGGGGAAAACAGTTGATTTGTTGGATACAGGTTTTAGTTTTGGTTTCTAATCCAGTGATTATCTTCATTTAATGTTAGAATATACGAAGTTCATGAAATTCTGAGATTTTTGTGGGAGGTATTCATAATTCTTTACTTTTCATATACATGTGTAGCCATGTATACTACATGAGTGGGGATGCATGGAAAGAAGGAGGTATTGACGCCACTGGTAAGCTCTATCACATGCTATTTACCTGCCTTGTGTTCCATTTTTCACATGGTAACATAGTAATGTCGCTATGCTTTCGGTTTATATTACTTTGCTTGAGTAATGATATGAAGCTCGATGTAATCTATCTATCTATATATATAAATCAAACTTTTTTGGGATAGAGGGCTTGAGAAGCTTTCCCTCCCATTTTTCTTAATTTATAAAATTTTATTTAATTAATGACAAAGTTAGGCATTATTTAATCAACAACCAGCACTTGGTTAATATAACTATCCTTCCACTATCTCACTAATTAACCACTCCTCATTCAAATTTTTTTTTAAAAAATTCAACCCCCTATAAATTTTAAATTCTTTAACTACCCATGTTGGGTGATGGGAAAAGAGGACAGCCTGGAAGGGAGAGTAGGAATGAGCAGGAGGAAGATGAGTTATCAATTCCATGAAACTCCTGGTACGCCCACTAGTACATTAAAGTTGTATGAAGAAATAAGTAAAGCTTCAAAACACAACTTTTGCCATGGAGGATAACTTTTAGGCACGATACTCATGTTAGGACCCATTCTTTGGGGAATGCTTTATTGATGACTAATATTTTTACTAGATATTGATACCTGTCTCAGTTTCATTCTTATTTGAATACTCGTCATGTTTTGGGGGGGTGGGGGGAATTGATTTTTGTTGCATGTGTGTGCAATCAACCTGTGATCGTATGAGGAACCCGCTAATCCTTGTTGCCCTATTTCTTTTTATTTTACCATTTCTCGCAAAAATCAGAACTTTTCTTGTTAATCTATAGCCTATACAATTCGATTATTCCCAATTCACTAAAATCATCTTTCTTTCCCTAATGTATAGGAGCGTTGATGGTGATATCATTGAAAGTCATTTCATGTGTGCTAAATTACAATGATGGAATATTGAAAGAGGAGAATCTGCGTGAGACACAAAAGAAAAATCGGTTGCTTAAGTTGCCATCATTGACTGAGTACTTTGGCTACTGCCTCTGTTGTGGAAGTCACTTTGCTGGTCCAGTTTATGAAATGAAGGATTATCTTGACTGGACTGAAGAGAAAGGGGTATGTTAATTATTTAGTTCTATTGTGCTTCTGGATAGTTTCTCTCATTGGAATTTACTAACTTTAGCTTTGATCTTTCTCTTTCCCAGATTTGGAAGCCTTCTGAGAAGGGACCATCACCATCACCATCACCTTATGGGGCAACAATTAGAGCTCTTCTCCAAGCTGCTATTTGTATGGGTTTGTATTTGTACCTGGTGCCCCATTTCCCGCTGTCTCGGTTTACTGATCCCCTATATCAAGAATGGGGGTTCTGGAAACGGTTGTGGTACCAGTACATGTCTGGCTTTAGTGCACGTTGGAAATATTACTTCATCTGGTCAATCTCAGAGGCTTCTATCATTATTTCCGGCCTGGGTTTTAGTGGTTGGACAGATTCTTCTCCACCCAAAGCACGATGGGAGCGTGCAAAAAATGTTGACGTTTTGGGTGTTGAGTTGGCAAAGAGTTCAGTTGAATTACCGCTTATGTGGAACATACAAGTCAGCACTTGGCTACGCCACTGTAAGTATCCGTTGTTTCTAATGATTGCATGTCTTTTTTTGTCCCTAGGTGTTGCTGTGCTTTGTCCGTAGTACATAAATGTGTAAGAAAATTTTAAGTACTGCAGTAGGATTTATTTTGTGCCTTGATTACAATCTTAGATTTGCCTGAATGTTATACGAATAAGGGAACCTCAACTTGTTTCATTTCTACTGGTTTTGTTAAACTTGTATCCTTATTGCCTTCAATTAAAAACAGCTCATACACTGTTTTTAGGTCCATTTGGGATCAAATGCTGATTCCAGCCTATTACCAACCACCCAAGGCACCTATGATTTCCCAGCTTTACCTAACTACACACTTTTGAATTTCACTAAACTATTACCATTGGTTAAATATTTTTGGGCACCCAGCTGGTGAGATATTGAGAAGGTGATAGAAATTGCAAATAATATGATTAGGAATGCTGAAGTTCATTTAGGTCACGGCAATTGGCTAAAATCATTTATCCATGTAATTATATGGATGGCAATGGTTGGGGACTTATTAAGTTGTAATTGGGTGGGATTAGACATATCCTGCCAGTATGACTAAGATGGAAACTCAATTCACGCCAAGGCTATAAATGTCAACGTTTAACATAGCATGCTGATCCTGGTGGAATGGCTGCAAACCCAAATCAGCTAAAACCAGGAAGATTGCAAGTTGGGTTGGAAATAGCCACCTCAATACCAGACATCTGTGAAAGCATGGTGCAACTGTTCAATGCGATGAATTTTATGCAATATCTAATCCTTGCTATACTCCTGCAGATGTTTATGAGAGGCTCATTCAGAAGGGAAAGAAACCTGGTTTCTTTCAGTTGCTGGCTACACAGACTGTCAGTGCAGTCTGGCATGTAAGTATAAACTCCAGATTTTGCTATTCTGAATATTCTTTTCTATCCACTAATCATAAACACTCTGCTATAGTGTTGAATGCCTAGGCACTTGTTTAAATTACTGTTCAAGGACGAATAAATTTCCCACTTATCAATTTCCAAATATATGTGAGGGTTACAAATTATTCTTCTACTTCTTAACAGATGCATTTGTAGTTTGGAATGATTTAATTGTAAATGCCCTTAATTTATATTTTGCGCTTCTTTAGTGAGATGGATATTATAGTGACTTTATTTTTTTCCAACCAGAAAAGTAGCACATGAATTGGGATCAACTAATTATTCTTTCACAATTTCATTCTGATATTCATGAGTTATGGGTGATGAAGATGTAACATATTGACACTCGAATGTCCAATTGATCCTTGATGCAACTTCTGTGAGTTGATATCATCATCCTCTGGGCTGATGATAGAATTTGTCTACTTGTGTGCATTTCTGTGTTTGAGACTGCTAATACCAATACAAGCCATGACAAATTTTTATTTATTTTTTTGGCTGAGTATTGGTACCTTTCATTTTTTTGCACTGTTTGTGTTGTTTCTCATACAAAACCTTGTCCTTGTGATATATCACCATTCTATTTTTTATGTTGGGGTTTCGAAACTGCCTTGACTCGTTATGCCATAAACGACCTATATATGGATCAACTCCATGATGCCATCTCACCCTCTTAAGTATGGCAACTCTGTCCCAGTTGCGTTTATTTTTCTGTTTATCACCCACTGAAGATCAGCCTAAAAGGATCTAAAGAACTTTTTTTAAGAAATGAAAAGAATGCAAATGATTACAATGTCTTCCTTCCATCTGTAATATCATCTCAGACATTTTTGCATGTGACCTCTATGCTGCCCATTTTGTTTGCAATAATGGCTTTCTTTCATCGAAAATCTCCCGTAATATTTTGCCACCTCAGAAATGCCAGTATGTCTGGGTTATTTGTCTTCCAAAAGTTGCTCTTTCAACATTCAAGCTGCTTATTCAAATGGTTTCATTCTGTTACAGGGATTATATCCTGGGTACATCATATTCTTTGTACAGTCTGCTTTGATGATTGCTGGTTCAAGAGGTAACAATCAGGCCTTCCTTTCTCACTGTGCTCTAATCCACTGATTGAGCATCTCTTCCAAGTACAATTGCCTTGCCATTAATTTTGGTTGTTTTGAGCAGTCATTTACAGGTGGCAGCAAGGTACTACTATGCCTTTGATCAAGAAGTCACTGGTGTTTATGAACTTTGCTTACACGCTTCTGGTTCTGAACTATTCCTGTGTTGGTTTCCTGGTTAGTCTTTTCCTTTTTCTTATTCTGTTTCTTATTTGTTTTTTTCCTGTTTCTTCTTTCATTCATGGTAGAATGAGAACAAGGGTGATTCACTGCTTTGGAAGCTTCATGATATTTCTTTGTATGTATGTCACAGGTATTAAGCCTGCATGAAACACTTGCTGCGTACGGGAGTGTATATTACATTGGAACCATTGTTCCCATAGCACTTTTTTTCCTTGGTAACATAATTAAACCGGCGAAACCAGCCAGATCTAAAGTTCGAAAAGACCAGTGAGGTACAAACCACCTTTTCAGATTCCTTTTGGTATGTATGGAATTGGGATTGCCATTGCCACATCGATCCTGCTTATACTTGGAAACCGAGGAAGAGTGCTGCTTTCTGCTGCATTGCCTTGCTTCGTGATAACTTGTAACATTTGTTTTGGTCTTTGAAATTATTTAGGCTGCCCACCTTTTAATCATTGGCATTGTTTCAATTCAGTCAACTTGGTTACCAGTTTGGCAATCTTGTAGTGGAACTGTATGATTACTGAGAGATGTCTTTTTGGTTTTTGGTTAGACAATACATAGTTGCTCCCCCCTCTCTTTTTTCTTTTTCCTCCTTCCCCTTCAAAAAATAAATACCCCGTAAGATGGTGATTCTTTGTAGGAGTGAAGTGCAGGTCCAAGAGTAGGCTCCCCCTTCCTGTTGTTGTTGGAGAGAGAAGTTAGAACATCTGCTATTTTGGTCTTCGGCTGTGGTGCTAGTGTAATGGGTGAGATGAGAAGTAAGATTCACTTGGGTGTGCCTTCCCTCCCAAATTAAACTGACGTTAGTAGTTTTTTGCAATCAAAATTCAGAAAATTTTCGAGCAATGTTACTTGAGGAAGCAAAAATATTTCTGTTGTTAAAACTAAAGATATGTTGCCATTTGTAATTGTTTTGCTTGACAGAGGTGTGGGTTATATGTATAGCATGGCATTTGATTTTGGTCTAGGCTAAGAAATGCGACCACACCAAAAAGACATAATAATTTTATCATCAAAGCAATGTAATAGTGAGATAAAATTGGTCTTCCTTTGGGTGTCCTTCTAAATGGTTGGGATATTGTCACGATGATAATTCAAAAGATTAGAAGTGCTTTGTCCTCTCAGGAGGCATACTGAAAAACTGTGCGACTTGCTCAGCATTTCTCCGATGGGATAATGCTGACTTGCCCTATTGAGGATTTACTTGCATTTGTTCATTGCAGATCTGCTAATTTATTTGTCTAGTTGTGCATATGATGGTAAAAAAGCTTGTTAAGTTGTTCCAAGTCCTTGAGTTTCACATAATTCTCCGTGACATGACACTCATTCTGTACCCAAGCAGTTGTCTTCCTATTAAAATCATTGGTGTGAAAGTTTATGTTACTTAAATGGCCTGTTTTTGGGTTTCTGTTAGCACTCTCATCTTCCATGGTATGTTCCTATATGTGGAGCACCTAACATGATCAAGATTGTATATCAGTTAGCAGAAGATGGTAGGACCTTCTTCTCACTCACTCACGCAATCTCTGGTTGTGTTGGCCTCATCATGCCTTGAGGAAGGCAGCTGGAGTGCTGACTTATGTGGCCAATTTGGTTAACCAATGCCAGAAGGAAGATCATTCTGGAGTGGGCCACCACTCCCTAAAGGAGTGTTTGATTGCTAATCATATTATTCATTCTTGGGATGGAAAAACTGTGCCGTATTATTTTGTAGTTGCTTCTGGAATTGTCAGTGATGTACTGGCCTTAAACCCCCACCTCTTGAAAGTGATCCAAAACAGATGGGGCTATACACATGGTGCCTATAATACTCTGCCCCTTGATCTGTCCTGGGTTTTATCTTCTCTTTCTCAACCACTACAAGTTTATGGTTTCCATAACAATGCAAATCCATCAAAAGTGGAATGCATATATTTGTGTATGTGCTTACATAAATAGCGATAACTATATGTAGAAGTATATATTGCTGGTGTAATGCATGAGGTCAATTACATCATAATGTTGTCATTAGGTTGGATTTCCAGATAAGGGTGAGCAGTAGGTAACTTAACATTCAAAGATTTATACAGATATCATCTGGTAGCCAAAGGAATTCATTAATACAATGTCGTCACCACTGCCACTCTGCTTTCCTCTGATCAACAAACACAGATGGTCTAAAACCACATGTACAAACTTCAGGATACATGAAGTTGAACTGCAAAATTTACGAAATCGACAGTTCTAGAGGGCCAATGCAGGGTCGAACTACAGAGATTGGACCTAGAGGGGGGGGGGTGTCTCTTACTCATATAAGAGAGACAGAGAGAGAGAGTTGTGCCTCTACTGTGCGGGGACATGTATTAATACAGTTATGCAGAGGATAGGTACTTCACTAAATAATCCACTTGTTATATAACTAAGTGAGAAGGGTGTCCCTCTGAAGTGACCACTCGCAAACTAACCAGGCAGCTGCTGGCTGAAGTTTGAGCTTTTTATGGGTGGACAACCAAAGAGAGCTGGCGTTTTTGCGCTTTCATTTTCAGTTGGAATGGGACATCCTGCAAGGCCACATTCTGTCAAGGATGCAGATGTGTTTCGCTGGACCTTTTTTTTTTCTTGGCTTGGTGATGATAGCCTTAATCAGCCAAGCAAAGATCACTCAATGTATGTGGATGTTACGAAAGCAACAAAACTGTGTTGGATTGAACTCTTGAGAATATTATATCTTGGGTTGAGTTCAGTTAATCTAGACGTCAAGGGTTTTGTCAAGGGTTTTATCGTTGCTAGCGTTTCCCAACCTTAACTGATACGTTTAATTTGCAGGTATTTAGAGTTTACTATTGAAAGAATGGGTCATGCATTGAAAAAATTACTCGTTGACACAAAACTCAGGTGGCCCATAGGGGTGAACACTGACCCCCCATTCTTCTTCTTGGTTTTTTTGCTATTGAAAAAGGGGTGGAACAAATGAGAGCGCCTACAAACCACGCTTTCACTGGGATCATGAGGCTCTTGACCGCGTCCATTATTCCTCTTAAAAATAAACTCGAACCTCCAACTTGATGATAAGAAATTTGGCGGATAACCCACTATACTGCCCCACTCTCGGTGGTCACTGTCCCCCATTCTGCTACTAAAGGTGATGAGTTTACATATCGACCCATTCCCGACCGAACCAAATGCCACATACACATCATAATTGGTGGCCTGGTGGGGAGTTCCCTTGGTGGACAACCAATGACCTATCCACCTGTAATGCCTCCGGACCGTTACTGTATAATATTATGGGTAAATTACACTCAAATTCTTGAGATTTGTCACTTAATCACATAAATTTCGTCATATTTCATATATTACATCTAGACCCCTTGTGGATGCCGATTAATCGACAAATGCAACGGAATAAAACAAAAGACCTAAATGCCCCTAAATATCTTCTTACAATGATCAAACTACCTTTATAGCTGAGTATATAAGGTTTCTCACCTTAAGTTGCTTCTCAAAGTGTTTGTCGCACCTTTAGACCTTATTATTGAGTTTGTTCACCTCTAGAATGAAGAACACTTCGGGGCATCCGAAGATCCTTGGCATTTGACGATCCTTGATGTTTGGAGTTTTGTAAGGGTAATCATAGAGTCGAAGTCGTTCAATTTAGAATGTGTCCCAAATATTTGGTTCAATAAGGGCAATTTGGTAAATTATTTTTATATGTTATGATGGCATAATGAGTTTTTAACAGTTACTTTAATGAAGACTGACGACAAGGGGTTATGTGTACACGCACAAAAATCTCAGGTGATCTAAGGATAATATGTCAAATGTGAGAGGATGTACATGATTAAGTAACAAATCTCGAGACCTTAATATTATTCACTTTAGGGCTCGACCTAAACAATTTTAAAGAGTGTTGTACAAAAAAAAGTCTAAAGCTTTACCCTTATGTACCACTCTAAACTCACTCCACCAAAAGATGTGGATTGGGCGTTAACAAGGTTGATGACCTATATTCAATTAGATTACATTCAAACGTTAAAGGCACCAATATTCCTTCCCCAGCTTGTGCATAAACCTCATTTGACACAGACTGATGACTGCACAAAGAAATCCTAAGCTCAAAGACAATCAAACCTAAGCTACCCACTTTTCGAGCTTAGATCAACTCCCAAATTCTAAGCATGAATGTGAACTCCATTACCATAACCAAAAAAGGGAATTTTTTTTGGAAAAGATGGTACTTTGAAGTGCATAAAACTGCATCCATTTCAATTATTTCTCCTGTAAAATGATAGAGAATGGGAGCTGTTGAACAACTTATGGGGCTGAATTCAGGTCTTAGATTTCAACAAGAAGACGAAAAATAAAAAAGAGTAAACAGCAAAAACTCTTAGAATACATATAAAAGGTGAATTCTCATAGGAATAGTCAAGTGTCGGGAGTTCGTGTCCCATTTAAATGGATTAGTTAACCACATCAAAGTAAAAGTATAATAAGATAGATTAATTGAGTCATTCGATCACTACCTCATATTCTCTCTCCCCTACGCTTTTTGGGCCAATGGGAGAGAGAGCTATGACTACATTCTCTCATTCCCAATAGAATAGAGGGGTGAATTCTTTGACACCTTCGTTTAACTTATTTATTGCAGTAAGGGTCTTTGTTAATCCACATTGTGATGTATACACACACAGAGACAAATATGCATTGATAATATTATGTACGACATGTATAGTATTTTTCTCTTTGATTATTTGGTAAATTCGTTCAGTCAACCCATTGGGGGTTGAGGAGAAGGAGAACAGAAACAGTCGTTCACTTAACTTCAAAAAAAATTAAAAAATTCCTTATTTTATTCACATACATATAATCTCCTCTCACCCCACCTTTCGCTGGCCATTCGTTTTCTTCTTACTTTCTTTTTTTTTTCATTTTTCTCCTCCCCACCCTCTCTTTCTCTCTCTGGATGTATATAAATTACATATATCATCATTAGTACTTAAGCTTTCTTCTCTCTTGACTAATACACAGATACAGGCAAAGCCTAAGGTTTTGCAATGAAACAAGTTTTGGTGCTGATTAGTTACAAGAATTTCTATGAACATTATTGTTTCTGAGTTGGTGGGTCAGAATTGGGTTCTTTCTTCATCCATTGGTTTCCTCTTAGCTTAACAGACAAGAACTTGAAAGCTGAATTATCTTCAACTTTTGGCATTTCTTCTTGCTTTGGATCAAATCATATATTGTGTTCATTTTCACATTATCAACACCATACCAAGAGGAAAGAGATGTTGGGAATGAAGCCTAAGACCACCGGAATGCCGTCACCGGCAAAACGAAGCACCGCCGGCAGAAGAGGCGGCGGCGGCTCAGAGGCTGCGGGCTGGGAACTCAGGCCAGGAGGAATGTTGGTACAAAGGCGGAATTCAGATTCAAATCAAAGTTCAATCCCAGTTCCCACAATTAAAATCAGAGTGAAATATGGTTCATTCTATCAGGAAATCCATATTAGTTCTCAAGCATCCTTTGGTAAATTTCTTATTCAATTTTGTGTGTTTTATACATTTATAGTCTAATTTTTCTTGGGGTGAGAGAGAGTGGGCCAGTGATAAGGCCACACTCCCACCAACAGGTGATTGGTGGTTTCAATTTCATCCCCTTCCCCCGCAAAAGAAATAGTCTAATTTTTCTGATCGAGCATGTTTCAATGCAGGGGAGTTGAAGAAAATGCTGGCAGGGACAACAGGGTTGCACCCTCAGGATCAAAAATTGATATACAAAGACAAGGAGAGAGATTCAAAGGCCTTTCTTGATGTTGCTGGGGTGAAGGATGGATCAAAAATGGAGTTGGTTGAGGATGTAATGAGCAGAGATAGGCGGTGTCTTGAATCGCGCAAAAATGCAAAGATGGATCAGGCATCAAAAGAGATCAAAGAAATTGGCTTGGAAGTTGACAAACTTGCTAAGCAGGTTCAATTTTGGTTAAATTTTGCAAATGACTTCAATTTTGTCTTTTGAAAGGCTTGATGTTAACTTTTTGATGGATCGTACTTATTTGTGTTGTTTTAGGTGGCAAGTTTGGAATCAGAAATTGGTGGTGGAAAGAAAGTAGGGGAGACCCTTATGTCGAATTTGATTGAACTGTTGATGACACAACTGATTAAACTGGATGGAATTGTTGCTGATGGAGATGCAAAATTGCAGAGAAGAATGCAGGTATGTAAGAATTTTGGCTACCCAACTATGTTAATCTATTTCTTGCACAAGTTTGTGTTTTCACTTAAAAAAAAAATGTGTATTCATTTGTATATTGTAGGTGAAGATAGTGCAGAAGAACATCGAAATTCTTGATATGCTGAAGATTAGAAATTCGATTCTTGGCAGCAATGGGTCTAAAACCCCATTGCAACAGCACCAAAAGATCTCAACTGGGCAAGTGCCAATACTAGTGCAAAATCAGAAGGAGAAGAGGAATTTGACAGGCCATATGCCAGGGCCAGTCGTGGTAACGACAAAATGGGAAACATTTTGACGACAAAATGGGAAACATTTTGATTTGGGCATTGCAGGCAACTCCATTTACTTCTGCATCTACAACCAAGCATAATGTTACTATAATGTGAATGCTGAGTTTAATTTGTAGTTGTTTGAGTGAGTTCTTATGAACTTTTGATGATCTAAACTACTCAGATGGTACTTTTGGGGGTTGGACTTGTTCTAGATATGTTCCTGGTGATTTTGTTTATTTCCCCATTCGTTTCTGTACTTAAAATTCCTAAGTATCCCCTTTTATCTTGAAGTAGGAAACAATGGGGTTTGTGGTGCTTGGATTGTGATTTGTATATATAGCAGATAGTGAATATATAAGCTTAAGGTTTGTTCATACTTGAATATGTTACATGAAAACTGTCTTTATGGGGTTGGCATTGATAGGTTCAATTAGTTGAGTTGCAGCAACTACTCTCTCTCTCTCCAACCTGGGCAATCAATGAACTTTTTGGTTTATATGGCCAATTTTCTATTTAGGTGTAAACCGTGTAATGAGTGGTGAAATATCCAGTATTTAATCTAAAGCACAAACTTTTTCTTGTTTCTTGTGTGGTTGCAAAAAGATGATTAAATAAGCAACAGGGAAGAGAATATAAATTTGGTAATGATTAAAATACTAATAACAAACAAACTGATAACAAAAGACATGTTTGACTTTGGAGGGGGGATTATGTGAGGTATCTTAATCATTTGGAATCCAATTGTTCTGTTTTTAATTAATTATTGCCTCTTAAATTGTAAGTCTTGTACCAGTGGCATTCATAGAGTTTTGGAAAACCTATTACAAGGTTTAACCATGGAGCAACTTCTTGATTGCTTACTTTCAACATTCTGTTCTTTCTTTTTTTTCCTTGTAAAAACTTCACTTTTTGATTGGTTCCTTCAATATTGTATTCTTTTTTTTCCCTCGTAAAAGTTTCAAATATTTTCCCTTGCAAACATTATTTTGTGGCATCAAACTAACATTGTGTAGGAACATGGAGGGAACTATGTTATGAACTAGGGGGGCATGGTCCCTCGAGATTGTGAAAGCTCATTGTTCGGTAGCTGTTTGAATAGTAACTTCTCTTCTCTCAATTTCAGACGATGATACTGGTTGGTTCTGTCCAAGTGGAAGAGTATGTGTTAATGCAGTAACAGAGAAGTAAATAAGAGGAAGCACAGGTTATCCGCAAACCTCAATAGGCCTTTTTCAAGTTGAATAATGTAAAATTTGGCTTACCCAATTGAATTCCAGCTCATTCAACTTGAGTAATGAGATGTTGATGTTCAAACAGAGGTCCCAGAGAGGGGAGAGGCCTTTAATTTGATCATGACAAGCTTACATAAACAGTACACCAATAATTGTACTTGTAGTTGCATCCAGTTGCTTTTCATGCCAGCCTTACATTGCTGTGAATGGAAATTATATTGAAAAAAAAAAAAGAAATTCATCGCACGAAACTCTTATTACTACGAGATTTAAAGAGAGTTTATATGAAAGATTATTTTCATGATTTGAATGTGTGATTCAAAAATCACTCTCAATTCGATATTCGACAAACATATATATTAGAATCTAAGAGTGGGTCTTAGTACAACGATCAAGTAATTTCATTGTAATCTAGTGGTCACAGTTTGAATCGAAGATCAAGAAACAATTTTTTTGCTCGCATGAGTAAGGTCGTATACATCGAACCTTTTTCAAACTCTGTAATAACGAGAGTCTCATACACTGGGTACGCCTTTTATATAAATTAGAACACCAATTTCAAAAATCTGGCATACTAGTCAATTGGATCCAAGACATGAAACCAATACAAAAATCGGAGGAACCACGAAATTATTTATCTTAGTTTCCTGAAAGAAGACAACATGTAAGCGAAAAAGTTACAGCTTTGGGTTTCTATACAGCTCAATAGTAGCAACTCCATAAGTGAATATAGGTAGTCACAGACAAGCTTCATGCCAGACACACAAGAATGGCCTATATTGAACTGAGATTCATCTTCTTCTGTAAAAGGAATGCGTGGTGGCTAAGAAAAAGTGAACCCAGATTCTTCAAACATGTGAAGTTGTTCTTGTTATTTAGCTTTGAAGTAAAGAACCAAAATACACCATAAGCTTTTTTCATTTTTTTATTTTATTTTATATTTTTCCTATTGCCTTTGGCCTTTTCTCTTCTCAGCAGGCCCACCCACTGGGTGAGCATGAGAATGATTGTAGAATAGCTTGTAGGATGAAGCCTTAGTGGATATAGCAAGTGTGCCGAGAATACAGCTCAGGCGTAGTATGTCTGCAGTAGAGATTGTGTGTGTGTAATTTTCGAAATACTGTAGACAAAATTACTTGCCACTTATCAGAAACTTTTACATAAACAGAGTCGACAATCACAAATAATTGGTACCATCGATAGGAAATTTGCCCATTAATACTCTTGTTGGGATTTCTCACGATTTAAATCCACTAACAAACACACACAATCGAAGAACAAATCAAGAATATAAAGCAATAAGAAACAAGAAAGAACAAGACACAGATTTTACGTGGTTCGGCAATTTGCCTACGTCCACGAAGCTGCAGGGATTTCACTATTGAGAGAGTTGAATACAGAGAGCGGCTGTACCATACACAATTAACCCTAATCACCAAAACAACAGGGTTTATATGTCCTACGCACTGGGCTGTATAACGGGCCCAAAAAAAAATTTCCTCGGGGGCGTTGCCCCCGAACCCCCACGAGACTTGTCCATGAGCGCTACGGCTTGGGCCTATCGGCCCAAGCCTTCGCTCCATGGACTAAGCCTCAGAAAAATTTCCATTAAAAACCACACAACATTATTCGGGTCGGGTCATCATCCGGATCACATATACAAACTAAACTCCATAAAAATAAACCAACAACTCTCTCTCTCTCCCCTGAATCTTCCCTGTACTTTTTAATTTTGTATGAAGATGTAAAGGTATTTCATTATTGAAACTCAAGTGATTTGAGAGATCCGAGTGTGTTTTTGAACATGGTTTGAGACATCTAGTAGTGTTTATGAACTTTCGTCTGCCGAAATAAAAGACCCTCCCAAACCAAGAGACCGCCCACATTATAATCAACCACAGAAGAACAGAAGCAATAATTAGAGTCATATTACACAAAAACAGTGACACACATACACGATTATTAGCTTAGATTCACATGGTATCATGACATTCCTACATTGGTTTTTTGGGTCTAATTAGGCTTGTCAATAGACGGGTTTGTGCCAAAAAGTACTCAACATATATTTGATTCGTCGATTAATTCGTATCTAATGAGTTATATTATCTAGAATTCGTGTCATATATGAATTATATATAACTCATGTCGTCTATTTTACTTGATTGGCTTCGTCCATACTCGATTTAATCGTGTTCTGTCGGGCTTACTCGTTTACAAAATGAGTGATTTAAGAAAGACTAAAAATTCTTTAATTTTATATCGTATTAACAAATCGTATAATATTTTGGCACCTCTAATTCCGACCTAACTCAAAGCTGGGCACCTCACACGTTCATGACTGCCCGTTGAGTCTCGCCTATGGCCCGAGTCCCCCAAATCTATCCGCCAACGGTACATGTTGGGCCACGGTCCAAATAGACGGATTAAGCTTACCCACAACATAAATACCTATCTATATAATTATTTAGGGTTATCCGGAAGTTGATACACGAAATTAGATTTAATTATTAAAAAATATTTTGTAAAAAATCAACTTAAGACATAAAAATACTTGAATACTCTTTTACTATAAATAAGTTCCCTTATTATATAAATATATATATATATATATCCTAAAATTTATGAAAATCAAAATTTATAATAAATCCTCTCCATTTTTTTATGAATATGTTTCAAAATTTTTGACAACTAAAATTAAGAAATTTTAATTATGTTATCTTATAAAGTACTAAAATTTGAATACTTTTTCCTATTGATGATTGTTGTTGATTTTTTGTTGGGTAAATCACATGTATTTGATATTATGATTGTGGATGTACAAAAATTAGATATTTAATTTCATAAACAATTTAGTGTCACACTGTATTGATACTCTTTCAAATTATAATTTTATATGAATTTAAATTATAAAGTAATTTTATGTACATTATATAATTATGAATCGAACAAATATATAATATCTGATAGTCCCGAAGAAGTTATCACAAAAACATCATACTAAAAAAAGAAGGAAATACTACTTAAAATTCAAATAATAGCCATTATTTTAGTGTTCAATATTCAACAATAAAATTGTAATTGTTTTTATAAAACACAAAAATATTAAAATTAACAAATAAAAATTTGAAAGATGAAAAGTTAATCAAAAAAGTGACCACTCAACACAATAAATAAAAATGAATATGAAAACTATGAAGAAAAACAAAACAGAAACTAACTAACAGTTTGGAACGAATAAAAAAAATGAAAAAAAACATAAATTTAACCTAATAATATATGAAAGTTATAGAAGAAAAAATACAATATATTTGAACTTTTTTGTATCCGTTGGAGAATAATAAAAATGATATGTTTGAACTTTTCTAAATATTAATGGTTGATAATTTGGAAAAGAAGAGGAGAGAGATATTTACTATAATGACAAAAAATATTTTATAAATCAAAATAATAGAGATATACATAGTCAACGTTATATGTAAATCTTGTGATAATATAATTATTCTATTATATAAAGAATTTTTTAATACAATAAAAAAAAATCAAAAATCTAATTAACTGTCAAAATAAATACGCATGATTTAAGAGATGACAAATATGTAATTTTTAATTAAATTCTAAAGATAAAGATTTAATTACTTAATATCAAAAGTTATGTATTTTTTGACAAATAACTCTAATTTCATGTACTTCCTTATGTATATATTTTTTAAAATTAATAACTAATAAAATATTGTAACAACAATAAGTGTAAAATGAAAAGTTTTTTTTGTGATTTTTATAAGAAAAAAAGT